GTTGGAGATAGCAGGAGGATGCCATTTAAATAGGGTGGTCAGGGAAGAGCTCCCTTTTTATGACATCTGATAAAAAACTTACTGATGATGTGAAAGAGCAGACCTGAGGAAGTCTGGGCAATGCTGTCCTGAGCACCAGGAACAGTGAATAACAAAATCCTTGAGGTAGTAATAAGCTTGTAATGTTGAAAGAACAAGCAGATCAATGTGGTTAAAAAAGAGCAAAGAGAAGATTGGTAATGAGATGGTGAAGCACTTAAGCAGGGGCCAAATACAGGATTTCATAGGTCACAGTGAGTGGTTTGGATCCTTTGAAGAGGGCAACATGAAGAGATCTCTCTAGCTGCTCTGCAGAACTGGGGCTAGGGCAACTGCAATACTCTGAGAAAGATGATAGTGGGGTATACCATGGTGGTTGCAGTAGCATAAATGGCTGGATTCCAGGCATGTTTTGAAAGGCAGAAATGACAGGCTGGCAGACTGAGTAAAGGTTGTAAGAGAAGAATCAAAGATGGCTTTTGGCTTAAGCAACTGGATGAATACTGGAGCCATTGCTTGTTTGCTGAAGGCAAGACTGGAGGAGGGGCATGTTCAAGGGGAGAAATTGAGTTTTTTGAAAATGAATATGCACATTAAACTACTCGTAAAATTGTCACTGCTCTCCAAAAAGGTCATATCAATTTATCCTCTTACCAACAATGTATAAGCATGCCTATATCCTAACATTTTTAAAAAGATTTTATTTAAGCCCTGGCTGGCGTAGCTCAGTGGATTGAGTGTGGGCTGTGAACCAAAGTGTCACAGGTTCGATTCTCAGCTAGGGTACATGCCTGGGTTGCAGGCCATAACCCCCAGCAACCGCAAATTGATGTTTCCCCCCCTCTCTATCTCCCCCCCGTTCCCTCTCTAAAAATAAATAAATAAAATCTTTAAAAAAAAGTTGAAAAAAAAAAGATGTTATTTATTTCTATGGAGGGGAAGGGAGGGAGGGAGAGAAACATCAATGTGCAAGACAGACACTGATTAGCTGCCCCTTGCATGCCCCTAACTGGGAACCTGGCCCACAGCCCAGGCATGTGCCCTGAGCCAGAATCGAACCTGTGCCCCCTTGGTTCACAGGCCAGTGCTCAATCCACTGACCCACATCTGCTAGGACTATACTCCAATATATATATATATTTTTTTACTTTATTCATTGATTCTTAGAAAGAAAGGGAGGAAGGAGGAGGGGAAGGGAGGCATCGATTTGTTGTTCCAATTATTCATGCATTCACTGGTTGATTCTTCTATGTCACTTGACCAGGGATTGAAACCTGCAACCATGGTGTATGGGGACGACACTTTAACCAACTGGACTACCCAGCCCAGGGCCTATATCCCAGTATTTTTGCCATCAGGGAAAAAATTATTTTTAATTTGCATGTTTTTATTAGTAAACTGAATTGCTTTTAAATCCTCACCTGAGGATATGTTTATTGATTTTAGAGAGACAATGACTGACTGCCTCCCTTACCCACCCCGGGTATAAAACCCACCAGGAATAAAACCCACAACCTAGGAATGAATGTGCCTTGACAGAGAATCAAACCCTCAGCCTTTTGGTGTACTGGACGATGCTCAAACCAACTGAGACACCAACTGCTCAGCCAGGGTAATGTTTTTATTGGCCATTTGTACTACTTTTGTGAAATGCCTACTCATATCTTTTACCTATTTTTCTAGTAGATAGATGTGTGCCTTCCTTACTAATATTTAAATGTCCCTTGTATATTAAGAAGTCTAATCTTGTCTGTCATATTGCAAATGTTTCTTAGCTACCAATGGTGTCTCTGATAAAGAGAAGTGGCTCTTATTTTTACATAGGCACTCAATAAAATGTACCTATAATTAATTCATTACTATTAAGGGTTTCTATCCCTAGTATCAGCCCCCAAAAGCCTTCTGTATTTCTTTGAGTGCTTTATAGTTTTATTTTTAGATTTAAACCTTAATTCTATCTGGAATTTATTCTGTGCTATGGTGTAAATTGAGGAAGTTCTAACTCCAGACACAAATTTCACAGAGCTGAGCCTTCTTCTCCAGCACAATGGTCTCCATCCACAAACAGCCATTAAACTCCATTCTCTCCAGCTAACTGGCTTCCTCCACTTCACTCCACAAAAGGAGTTCAAGTCACCAACGGCTCTCCACTAGAACTATCTCCCTCCCTGGTCTCTCCCGCTTCCATGGTTAGAGTGCTCCCCAACTGGTTCTTCACAGGGCAACAAAAGCAGTTTTTGTTATGTGTTTTTTTAACGTAAAATTGATGTCACTCTTCTGCTTACAATTTCCAATGGTTTCCTAAAGAAATAAAGTTAAATCCAGATCCTTAGCATTTTTTACAGTACCCCACCTGGTCTGCCCCACCTCATGCTTAGCCAGCCCATTTGGATAATATTCTCCTTCTCACGCACCAATCCCAGACACAATGGCCTTACTTCAGCTCCTGGGACACAAGTTCATTCACTCCTTAGGCCTTGATGACTAGCTGCTTCTTATAATTCAGATAATGCCATCTCCTCAGGCAGGCCTTCCCAAACCCTGATACACCTCATCTAAAGCAGCTTCACCTCAGTGACTCTCCGTCGCATTAGTTTCCCTTTATTCAAGACAATTGCCATTGACTAAATTATCTTGTTCATTTACTTGTATGTTTTTTGTGCGTTTCCCCTGCCCCTTCCCATTGAAAGTGCTCTAAAAGGTAGGATCCTTGTCCTTGTTCAGCTCTTTATTCCAACGTCTGTTGTGTCTGTCACATGGTAGGTGCTCAATTAATATTTGTAGACAGGAGAGACTATCTGGGGGTCGGCTTCTTATCTAAACTTGTGAAAGGCCCCTAGGACTCGTCTGGCTTCGTTTAACGTCGGTATCTGCGATGTGCTGCCAGGCACCCTTCTCTCCTTTCTTCTCACTCTCCAGCTTCACCTGTGGCCAGGCTCACACCCTAGCAAATTTAACTCTGGGAAGCCGCGAAGCTGGGCCCCGCATTGCCTTGGAGCTGCTAACCCATCCCCACTGCCTGTCACTAGAGGCAGAGAGAAGCACCAAGTTTCCGCAGCCAACGTCAAACCCCGCGCGCTGCGCGAGAAAGAGGAAGAGTGCGAGGACAGAGCCGCTTACCAGTTCATCCGGACTCAGAATTCCGAACTGCACTCTCCTGATGGTGCGCAGCGGGCATGCGCTGTCCCCGGAGGGGGGGCCACCCCCGTGCATCGCGGAGGCAGGCGCTGCGCAGGCGCAAACCTCAGTACAAAAAGCCTGCGCCGCCTCCGCCTAAGAGCTCAGACCCCGTCGGGGCGGCCACCGGGAAGGACCTTCCCTAAGTTGGGAGGGAAAAGCCGGAGGAAGGAAAGGTGGGGGAGGGAAGGAGGCGGGGAAATAAAAAAGAGCGAAAGGAATTTTCCTCCCCCTTTCCGGAGATTTTTCGTCTCTCAGAAAGAAAAAAAAAAGAGGAGGGGGAAGGAAAAGGCTTGGGGGGGGGAAGAAAAGGGGTAGCGAATAAATAATTAACCGGGATCCTGAACGGCAGAGGTTACGGCAGTTTGTCTCTCCCCCGCCCGGGAGCCACCTTCTTCTCCAACCGTCCCGGCCGCGCTCTCGGCGCTTCTGAGAAGCGAACTGACCGAATGACGCCTTTTATAGATTCGCCCCTGCATCTCCGCCCCTTCCTTTCCCGCCCTCCCTTGCGCTACGGGGTTGCTTGCGCTGGCCTGCACGGGACGCGCGCTCCAGTCGTTGCTCCTCCCTTCCCGACTCCCCGGTTCAGCGACCTTTTGAAATGACAGAGGGGAGGGGAAGTTTTATCTCTCCACCTCCTCAAGCTGCTCATTCCCGCACTGAGATTCAAGGTTTGGAGGATCGAGAGTAAATATAGGCCGCTTTTACTCCAGTTTGGAGTGTGTTTTCATCTTCAGCAAAAGTTTGTCATTACTGTTCTCCCCCCTCTGGAAAATGGTCTGTTCTGAGAATCGGTAATGAAGAAGGCGGGGCGAGTCAGGTCCTCCCGAGTAGGTCCCCTGAGGGGGCAGTGCTGGGACCGTCCTTGGTCATGAATATGCAGTAATATCGCTGAATATACATGAGTGAATCAAGATGGCGAGACCAATTACTTGTCCGGAAGAGAGGCCTCCTAGAACGGTTGGGCATCCTCTGGCCTCTAATGAATCCCAGTACGGAACTCAGGTTCTGGATCACCGGCTTGAGCTGCTCAAACAGATCTCAGCTCAGAAGAAAGGAAGGATCTCTCTCCCAGACTTCAGCCGGAACGAGGCCGGCAGCTGTCTGGGAGAGAGATCACGGGACCGGGGCGGGACACAGGCCCTGGGGGATTCAGGGTCAAGGCATCTGAACTTCAGGGAATCCTCCTCCTCCTAGAATATTTCAGAAAAAAATATTGGGGTGGGGGGATGGACTTCTAATATCTTTCCAAAGCGGAAATGAACACAAACTGCACAGCCACATTCACAGTGATCCTTGTTTGACGTCAATGTCACGTCACCACCCCAAGTTGTGGGCGAGGCACAGCCACCAGGAAGGGAAACCTCAGTCAGGGCAAAAAGGCACACTCCCTTCCCCCAGCGCAGCAGTTTGCCGTGTCTGTTAGCCTGAAATCCCCAAACATTTCAGTCCCAATGATCTTTTCCTTGTTGCAGAGGGAAAAAATCTTCCCATGGCTCCTGGCCTGCCTGCTTTGCCGCTTTCATCTGCTCCTCAGACCTTACTCTTTAGTTATGCCCTGATCCTCTAGCTGCTGCCTAGATTCCACATCTCTTGGTCCCCAGGTTTGTTCCAGGTTTTCCAGGCAGTCCCTTTCTACCAAGTCCTCATGTTACCCTTGGCTCCAAGGGGCATCCCTCTCCCACACCAGTTCTTTTCAAATCATTTGTTCTCCCATGTTTTTATTCCAGTCTCTATTTCTCCTGGTATCCCCCAACTCCAACCCCCAGCCTCTCAAGTCAATCTCACTCCTCCACCTGCCCTGCCCTCTCATAGCTGAGATTGTGGGTGGTGATGATGCCAATGTTGCCCAACACAACCACTGCCCCGATAATGTCACAAGGTGCCACAATCTCAGAGAGCACGTAATTCTACAGCATCAGAGCGACCACCACTTCAGAGTCCAGGACGACACACCCCAGAGCAAGATGGACCTTGTTGACCACATAACTCACACACAACAAGGAGACCAGAGGGAGATCACCACTGCCCCCACACAGCTCCAACTCAGAGGCTCATTGGGCAGCATGGGGATCTGCAGCAGAAAGAAGCCTGGTATAGAGCCCACCAGCCCCCCACCAAGTCAAACAGGAAAGCCACTGTTAGTAGGCAGAAGGGGAGGTCCAAGGAAAGATATACCAGAAGCCAAGAGCAACGTCTGGCCATCCAGGAAAGTGAGCACATAGCCCTGGGCAGTGTAGAGGTCCTTGGTCCCCTTCTGTAGTATCCCTAGTCCAGGTCCCACGATGATGATTAGTCCCATAGCGCTGTTCAATAGGCCACACCAGTCTTAGTGACTGAGACCTGGCCCTTGAGACAGAGGGCAAGGAGAACAGAGCAGATGGCGAAAGAACCTTTGGGACAATGGCAGCATTGCCAGCAGGCATCACCTGAACTGCACTATAGGCACGTTCAGTGCTGAAGACACAGTAAAGAGGGCATGGAGTCAGGCCCAGCCCTGGACATCCAGAGGTTCCAACAGTGAGTCACCATGCAGTTTAAGTAGTAAGGCAATAGGGAGGTGCAAGAGGCATTAACTGATAAGCAGCTCCAGCAAGGGTAGGTGGGAAGTCTGGTAAACTAGCTAGGAGAAGGGGCCCATGAAGCCACCGGGTGGGCGCCCACCCAGCAGGGCTACAAGCAGACCCTTGGTGGCAGTGCTGGTGCCAGAGGAGGCTGTGTTAACAGTGGGAATTGTAACCTACTCCAGCATTTTTTTACATTGTTTCTGTAAGTGCTGACTAATATGTAGCTTTTAGATGAACAGCATGTTTGTATAAGAATCCTAGAAACTGCCCTGGCTGGCGTAGCTCAGTGGATTGAGCACAGGCTGCGAACCAAAGTGTTGCAGGTTCGATTCCCAGCTAGGGTACATGCCTGGGTTGCAGGCCATAACCCCCAGCAACCGCACATTGATGTTTCTCTCTCTCTCTCTATTTCCCTCCCTTCTCTCTCTAAAAATAAATAAATAAAATCTTAAAAAAAAAGAATCCTAGAAACTAACTTCAAAAGATACAGACTCTGACCTTCAGGCATCCCAGCTCTTAGGATTCTCTCTGCTCTCCCTCTCAAGGCATCAACTACCTTGAAACGCTTTGCTGGTGAAAGGAAGCAGGTATGTGGGGAGTTGACAGACTCCAAACTGGGTAAGTCCCTGGTGTGCACAGCCAGGAGCCCCTGCCCCACCACTTGGGTTCTTTGAACCATTTGGGATTCCGTGGGAATTAATAGTTGCCACTGGGTGCTAGACACAGATCAGTGACGAGAAAAATCACAGTTCCCCTATGTGGGATTTGGTTGGAGTGCTCTTTTGGTTTTGGTACATGGACTTCTGGGTATTGTTTGCCTTTTTTGTTGTATACTGCTGTTTTGTTTGTTTTTTGTGCTTTTTCTTTTTTCTTTATTTTTTGAATGATTAAAAGTATTTTTAAATTTTTTATAAATAATTTTCCTAAGTTGAAGACGTTTATTTATTTTTAGAGAAGGGGGAAAGAAGGAGAAGAGAGAGAGAAACATCAATGTGCAGTTGCCTCTTGTGCAGCATGGGGGCATGGGGGACCTAGCCTGCAACCCAGGCATGTGACCTGATGGGAATCAAACCAGTGACCCTTTCGTTTGCAAGCTGGCACTTAGTCCACTGAGCCACACCAGCCAGGGCAGTTAAAAGTATTTTATTGTATCTTTCCCATTACCATTTATCCTCCTTATACCCCCTCCCCCAGCAATCACCACCCTGTTGTCCATATCCATGAGCATGTTTTCCTTTTGTTCAATCTGTCCACCCTCTATCTGCCACCCCCACAGCTGTCATCCTGCTCTCTATGAGCCTGTTTCTGTTTTGCTTTTTAGTTCAGTTTGTTCATTAGATTCCACACATGAATGAAATCATATGGTATTTGTCTTTCTCTGATTGGCTTATTTCACATAACATAATATTCTCTAGATCTACCCATGCTGTTACAAATGATAACATTTTCTCTTTTATGGCTGAGTAGTACTCCACTGTAGAAATGTCCCATAGTTGTTTTATCCACTCATCTACTGATGGACACTTGGGCGCTTCCATATCTTGGCAGTGTACTGCTTATTAATTGTCCGTTAGTTTTGTTTCTCTGTTCTTCCGTGGGAGGAAGTCAGTTTCTGTTTCAGATGGCTCTTGTCTATATGAAATGACACTTTGGTTCTCTCATCTGTCTGAAATGAAAACTTTGATTACAGTTGTTCTTTGCTTGCTTCCTTATCATCTGGGGACTTGGTTCAATCTTTGCTATTTTGTACACACTGGGAATCCTCTGTCTCCTCTGTTTGGACTTTGTGCCATTTTGGACCTTGTCGAGGACATTTGTGGTATCAGTTAGTGTGAGATAAGATTCTAAGGCTAGTCTCACTCCCTTAGTTTGAGAGTACTTGTTAGAACTTTGTCTTTGCTTTAGATTTTGTTTTGTTTGTGTTTTGAAAGATGTTGCTCAGGCCCTGGCTGGTGTAGCTCAGTGGATTGAGCACTCGCCTGAGAAACAAAAAGTCACCACTTTGGTTCCCAGTCAGGGCACATGACTAAGTTTCAGGCCAGGTCCTCAGTTGGGGGCATGTGAGAGGCAACCCATTGTTTTTCTGGCACATTGATGTTTCCCTCCTTCTATTTCTCCCTCCCTTTCCCTCTCTCTAAAAATAAATAAATAAAATCTTAGAAGGGAAAGAAGGAAGGAAGGAAGGGAGGAAGGAAAGGGAGGGAAGGGAGGGAAGGAAGGGAGGGGCTCAGTCTCAATCCCATCAGCAAGTCCATTAGGTCACTTCTAAAAAAATATTTTATTTATTTATTTTTAGATAAAGGAGGGGAGAAAGGGAAGGAGAGAAACACCAATGTGTGGTTGCCCCTCATGTGCCCCCACTGGGGACCTGACCTAGCCCCCAACCCAGACATGTCTGGGAATTGAATTGGCGACCCTTTGGTTCACAGGCTGGCGCTCAATCCACTGAGCCACACCAGCCAGGGCAAATCACATTTTATACTAAAATTGTTTTGCCAAAGTTCTGGTAAATAGGATAAGATCTTTTACATGCAAGCCTTCATATTGGTATGTTATAAGGATTCTACTCAGAAAGGATTTAAACTTATGGTTCAAAGAGGGAGTAAAGATCTCACTCCCCTTCCAGACAGTAAAACCCAGAGAGAGAAAAAAAAAATGAGACAATGAGTCTTTTGAACATCCTAAATCCTTCTCCTGGAAGTCCGGAAGCTGCGGCAGTCCAGGGAATAATGGGGAAATTAATGCCACCCTCAAAACCTGTTCAGGCTGTGGGAATAGCAGGGGCAACTGCCCCACCTCAATGTAAAGGAAAAAACTGGCATTTAAAAAAAATTGAAGCTGTGCCAAGCTTGATATTACCCCTACCTCTTTTTCAGTCTCCAAAAAGTTGTCAAGGTCACTAGATAATGAAACCACTCACTTTTGAGCATGCTAAAGGAATGCAATAATTACCAAGGATCCAAATGGGTAATTTGTTTAATTGACATCTTTTAAAGTTATTAACATAAAATATATTTGTTTTTTCCCTGGGTTTACAAAAAAGTTCATGTTATCTCTATTATGCCTTTGAAAATGTAAATGCATTTCAGAAACAGGGAAAAAACTGTTTCTGAAATTATAAAATATATTCATAAATTTTCCAGTCTAAAGAATGCTAATTACTTTTAGTTTTCACTAAAAATTGAAAATTCTAATTAAGTTGGGGAAGAAGATATGGTTTTAGTAATAAAAGGTGTAAGTCATGGCAATATTTTTTTAAGAAAATAGAATTGAAAGCGGGTTGTTCTAAAATTGGTTATTTCTACCTGGCTGGTGTGGCTCAGTGGACTGAACGCTGGCCTGTGAGCCAGAGAGTTGCTGGTTCAATTCCTGGTCAGGGCATATGCCTGAGTTGCAGGCCAGGTCAGGTCCGCAGTAGGGGGCACACTGGGGGCAACCATATATTGATGTTTCTCTCCCTTTCTCCCTCCCTTCCCTTCTCTCTAAAAATAAATAAATGAATTGAACAACTTTTTAAAAAAGAATAAATAAATAAATAAATAAAATAAAGTTGGTTATTTCTATCTTTTTAAAAGATTGTATTTATTTTTCCCTGGCTGATGTGGCTCAGAGGATTGAGTGCTGGCCTGCAAACCAGAAGGTCGCCGGTTCGATTCCCAGTTAGGGCATATGCCTGGGTTGAGGGCCAGGTCCCCAGTAGGGGGTGCATGAGAGGCAAACATACGTTGATGTTTCTCTCCCTCTTTTTCACTCCTTTCACCTCTCTCTAAACATATAAATAAATAACATCTTTTCAAAAATTAAAATAAATATCTATTTTTATTTATGTGAGAAAAACACTGATCAGTTGCCTCTCACATGCCCCCAACCGGGAACCTGGCCCACAACCCAGGCATGTGCCCTGACTAGCAATCAAACCAATGACCTTTTGGTCTGCAGAACAATACCCAGTCCACTGAGGTACACCAGCTGGTGCATGAAGTCAGTTATTTCTGAATGAGTTAAGAAGAAGCAAATCAAAAGGGACTAGGGAAGTTGCAGAAAGACTGTGTACATTGTAGAAGGATTGTGTAAATGACAGAGGGTCTGTGTAAGTTGAAGTCAGTCTGTACAAGTTGAAGAAGGATTGTGTTAGAAGGAGCCAAATGAGAAAGAATTGAGGAAGTGAGAAAAGGGTGAGAAAGATTACAGGAAAGCTATATACATATTATAGAAAGGAAGGACATTGGGGAAGGAATTCTGGAGAACTGACAGAAATGGAAAAAAAGAAATAAGAAAGAGCCCTGACTGGTGTGGCTCAGTAGTTTGGGCATCGTTCTGCAAACTGAAAGGTTGCCAGTTTGATTCCTGGTCAGAGCACATTCCCAGGTTGTGCACCAGATCCCTGATTGGGGGCCTGTGACAGGCAACTGATGGGTGTTTTTCTTGCACATCAATGTTTCTCTCCCTCTTTTTCTCCCTCCCTTCCCTTCTCTAAAAATAAAGAAATAAAAATCTATTAAGAAAAAAGAAAGGCATATAGATAGATGATAAAGCAAAGTCATAATTTCAATGGCAAATGAAAAAGCCAAAAGCTCCCTTTGACTTTCCAAAACCAATTGTTATTTCCTTACAGAAACCCCAGGTACAATTGACAGGAAAGAACAAATTAACTGATTTCTTAGTCGAATGTACTTTCATTTGTAATTCTGTTATCTTGAAATGTTGTTACAAAAAAGTAAATTTCTTTGTCAATTACATTATAATCTGATATACAACTATATCATTTTAAATATTTTTTGTCATTTAGAGACCATCAATATTTTACTCTGGTGCATTTGCAAAAATGTTACATCTTGCCCTGGCTGGGGTGGCTTCAGTGGAATGAGTGCCAACCTGTGAACCAAAGGATCACTGGTTCAATTCCCAGTCAGGGCACATGCCTGGGTTGCGGCTGTCCCTAGTTGGGGCATGTGCAAGAGGTAACCGATGGATGCTTCTCTCTCTCTCCCTCCCTCCCCTCTCTCTAACTATAAATAAATACAGTCTTTTAAAAAAGAAAAAATGTTAGATCTTCAAAGATCCATGGAAAGGACTCTGACTTACTCTAAAATATTAATTTATGAGAATAAATTTTAAGATTATACTTTTGAAATAAATGGGGATTTGTGGGTCTCTGGTGAATGACTGGATTCATGGAAATACTGGTGGATAATTGGGATAAGCAAGAATTGATTGTAGAATTGAATGAACTGAGGATAATAATTGTTCTTATGACTTGTTTCAAAGTATTGCTGTTTTGCTCTGGATAGTGTGGCTCAGTGGATTGCATGCCAGCCTGGGAACCAAAGGGTGGCTGGTTCAATTCCCAGTCAGGACACATACCTGGGTTGTGGGCCAGGTCTCCAGTGGGGCTGTGCAAGAGGCAACCACACATTGATGTTTCCCTCTCTCCCTCCCTCTTCCTCTCTCTAAAAGTAAGTTTTAAAAATTCTTTTTTAAAAAAAATTTGGCCCTTTCTTTTTTTTTTAAGATTTTGTTTATTTATTTTTAGAGAGGGGAAGGGAGGGAGAAAGAGAGAGAGAGAATTAATGTGTGGTTGCCTCTTACATGGCCCCCACTGGGGACATGGCCTGCAACCCAGACATGTGCCCTGACTGGGAATCGAACCTGCGATGCTTTGGTTTGCAGCCCGCGCTCAATCCACTGAGCTACGCCAGGCAGGGCAGTTTTAAAAATTCTTTTAAAAATATTGCTGTTTTAGATTTCATTTATTTACTTTTAGAGATAGGGGAAGAGAGGGAGAAAGAGAGGAAGAGAAGCATTAGTGTGCTAGAGATACAGGGATTGGTTAAATATCACATGCCACAACTAGGGACCTGGAGTGCAACCCTAGCATCTGCTCTGACTGGGTATTGAACTGGCAACCTGGGTATTAAACTTTTGGTATGCAGGCTGGTGCTCAATCCATTGAGCCACACCAGTGAGAGCTGACTTAAAAAAAAAAAAACGTGTTTGTCAGAGCAATTTGGTAAATTGTAACAATACTGGAGCATTTCTATTGTTCTCCCTACTTGATCTCTCCAGAATTTAAAAACAATGAGTATTATTCTTTTCATGGCAACACATTTGTTTTCATGAATCCAGTAGGAATCATTTTTTCCAGTTTCCAATTGTGGTTTTATTAACCAAGACTTTGACTGGAATGTCATGTTTAAGAGAGACATACCTAGGCTCTGGATATCACCAAAAAGCTTTAAAAAATAAAAATTGATTTTGAAGCTGATAAAAGCCCGTTGGAGAAATGGCCTGATACCTTCCTTGTTTACATGGTTCACAGCAGTCTTTCCAGGTAAGGAGTGAAGGTTGCTTTCCTGTGAGATGGCAAGGAAGAATCTCGGGACATTTTGGGGATGTCGAGAACTTGAGGAATTTACCCAAACCTGTAGATATTGCGAGCAAAGCATAATGGCAACCGTGTGGCTTCACTTCCTGGCCCTGAGGGGCTAATTAAAGTTCATTCTTTGAACTTTGAAAATTCCTTGTCACATTCCAGCAAAGTAGATTTAAGAAAGCCTTATATAGGGGGTAGGGGAGTATAAGGGGACTAAATGGTAATGGCAAAAAAAAAAATGCAATACAAACCTTATTTAAAGGTATATAATCAATTGCTATTCTTGTGTTTTTGCAAATAATCAGGTTTAATGGAAATTAGATTTAATATAAATGAATTGGTCTTGATTTGGCTCTTTGATGAAAATGAGGGTACTTTTAGGATAAAAATTCTGTTTCAATAAAATCTATAACACAATTGTGGATATTAGACTCTAATTCAGTAAACTGTAAAATTTTATTTTTCACCTATAAATAGGACTGGATCCTGAATTTTTCTAGTTTTCTTAAATGTTTTGGCTACAACTGTCTAACTTCCATGGAAATGGAAGAAAAATTGACAGTGGGGAATTGTAACCCACCCCACCATTCTCTTGACATTTCTTCTATAAATGCTGACTCTGACTAATATGTAGCTGGTAGATAAACAGTATGTTTTTATAAGGATCCAGACTAAATTCAAAAGATAAAGACTCTGACCTTCAAGCATCCCAGCTCCAGGAGATTTGCTGACCTTCTGCTGTGGAGCCAGGAAAATGTAAAGCCAGGATGATGTGAAGCCAGAACGACTAAACCAGGATGATGCACACCAGACCATCACTTGCCTTATCACAATGGACTGTGTTTCTCTTCATGTAGGTAAATTTTCAACCCCTCCCTTGATTTCTGTTCTGTTCCCTTTCCTTTCTTATAAAAACCTCTGCCTGCACTGAGATGTTAGAGATGGGCTTTGAGACATGAGTCCCCATCTTCCAGATGGCAGCACCTGAATAAACCACTTTCCTTTACATCAGCACCTGCCTCTTGAGTATTGGCTTTCGAAGTGGCAGGCAACCGGACCTGTGTTTGGTTACAGCTGAGAAGAGTGGGGGCGGGGTGTGGAGGGTGGCAATGACTGGGCAAAGTCAGGCAGATTGAAGTAGGGGGTGACTTGTGCCAGCCTGTTAGGGAGATAGGAGCTTGAACATTAAATAGTCATAGTCCAGGGGACCAGGGGTAGGGCAAATGCCAGTCTTGGGGTCTGGGACCCTGTGGGACAGTAGAGAGGCAGGCTGTCTTGTTGAGGAACTTGGGAGCTAGGAAGGGCCTGAAAGACCAATGAGGTGGTACAGTGTGGGCCTTGAGCCTCTAAAGCAGAAAGCAGGGAGTAAGCAGTCCTGGAGCATTGTGTTTCTCTGGGTAAATTGTTCCTGGGAGGAGACCCAGGGATGTTCTGTTGGTTTGAGGAAGGGGAGGTGGCCTCAGATGCTATATGTTTATGTGATATCACAGGTTCTAGGGAAATCTGGGTACACCATTGTGAATATCATTTGTGGGTATCTCTAGGACAGCTGGGAAGTTTTAGGGAAGGAAGAGAAAGGGAGCAGCCAGGAGTTATAGGGACAGAGGCTATGCACCCTTAGCCCTGACTCTCCCCGATTTTCCCTGGACTTCCTCCTGCCCTGGGCCACTTCAGAGCTCCAGCCATTGTGACTTGGTTGGAGTGGAGGTGGTGTTCTTCCCAGGATACTCCCTGAGGTGGGGGCGGACTTATTTTCTCATTGTGTTCAACTCTGCTTGCTTTATGTATAAATGTCTTTGTTACTCCAAAGTTTTTCTGATCCTTTTTTTCCCTTTAGGACTAGCTCTCTGATGAGACTTCTTTGGTTTTAAATTAGTTTGTCTTGCCCTGTTTTGGAAAGGTTTTTCAGAAAGGATCTCTGAGAACTGGCTCCTGTTTCCTGATTTTTGAATTTTTGAACAGCAGGGAGGAGATTCTGGGACTGTCCCTCTGGAGTTTCAGGAATGTGCTGCTTCTGTGTGTGTTTCCACCTGGTGTTTTCTTGGTGCTGTCCCAGGAGGCCCACACCAAGGCATCTGCATTTACGGACAAGTAGATAGAATTGGATATTTCCTCCAGCGGTGACAAAGTACCTAGATGCGTGTTCATCTGCGCTAACAGTCATTTCTGTGTGCCTGTTCTGTAAGGCTGGGGCATACCTGGCGGTGGGCCTGATGGGGGTCCGGTGAATTTCTGGTGCGTGCGTGTGTGTGTGTGTGTGTGTGTGTGTGTGTGTGTGTTGGCCCTGTGAATGTTTTGACCCTGACTCTGCACGTCCCATAGGGCCTGATTGCCTGATTGCGAGCCTGCCATGTTGTGGGTCTGTGTCTTGAGAGGTTGTGCTGGCTCTAGGTGGTGTGCAACTCTGAGTGAAGGGCATTCGGTGTGTGTGTAGGGGGGAGGCTGTCCCTTCCAAGGGAGTGGGTGGTCGTGCTTTCATGCGGGAGAGCTGCTGCCAGGCCCGCGCCCCGCTGGATGCCCACTCGTACGGCGGCCCTGCGCGCAGCCGTTCGCTTCCCGAGATCCGTCCGGGCGAAGGCCGTCGGGTGCGCTCGCCCCAACCCGAGCCTGGAGCCTTGTGTCGGTGTCGGTTGCGCTACGCCGGCCTTCTCTCCGCGGCGGCGGCGCTGGGGGGGCCTGTTTCCGGGGGTGGGGGTGGGGGGTAGGACCGGGGGTGGGGGGGGAGCCGATGATGTCAGCGGCGGCGGCGGCTGCGGGGCCGGGCCGGGGCCGGGCGCTGGGGGGGCCGGAGCCGGAGCCGGAGCCGGAGCTGGAGGCGGGCGAAACAGGAGCGGCCGGGGGCGGCCACGGTGATGAGCCGGGCCTGGCGGACGCGGCGCCATCGCAGTCAGGTGGGCCCCGGGCGAACCCGGCAGGGCCAGGGCGGACCGGAGCCAACAGCCGGGCCCCCTCCCCGCTGCCCGGTGCCGCGGGGGCCAGGGTCGCGTCCCGCGCCCGACCGCTACCCTTTGGGGTTGACCTGGGGGCTCCAGGGTCGTGGGCTGAGCCTGGCTCCGCCCCCAAGCGCGCACGGCGCTGCGGGGAGACTAAGGGGCCCCGGTACCGCGTCCGACCCAGCGGCGGCCGGGGGAGGTGCGATCGCAGGGGGCCGGGGAAGGGGCCTCCTCACTCCCCTTTTGAAAGGTTAATTCTGCAGCCGAAGGTCCCCCTCCTCTTCTGGGGCAGGTTGGGGGTAGGGTTGGGCGGGTGAGAGGCCCTGCCGGCGCTGCTAGCTGCTGGGAGGGCGATGGCGTAGAAGCCAGGCAGAGAGGGGGAGGGGTGGGCCGGTGAGCGCCCCAGAGTTAGGGTGTACGGGGTGCGCAGGAGCAGCAGGGGCCCCGGAGCCATTGCGCCGTCGGGGTAGGGTTGTGGCTGTGAGTCCTGGAGATTGTGTGTCTTCTGCTGTGTTGTGGGACAAGGTAAACCTCTCCTGGGCAGCACTGCTTGCTGGTCTGGCAGACAGGGGTCTGCGTAGGGCCCTCACTGGGCCATGGGGACAGAAAGCCAGGTGGTGGTGTGCCCAGTGTTGCGGGGCAGAATTACAACATGTGGCCCTGTGGCTTTGGGTGACAGGTCCACATTCCAAGCAAGGTACAATATATGCAGAGTTTGTTAGATGTGGGGTTTTAGGCATGTTTTATACCAGTATGTGTTTTCTTCTACCGACTGTACATATGAACTATTTATGAACTGTTGTTTTCTGCATAGCTAGCTGGTGTAAGTGCTCTGGACGGCACCAGAGTGTAGGGTGTATGTGCCTGTTTGGAAGGGGCGGTTATTTACCTTCGAGTTGGAAGGTGTCACTTCTGGGTCCCATTTCTGTGCTTCTGAGATGTGGCCCAGTCTTGGTGAGGATGGCCCCGCTGGAAGGGTTCCTGTGTCTATGTGATGAGTGAGTTGCATGGGGCGGGGGGTGTGTACATGTCTAGAACTCAGGTATCACCTATCAGGAGGGACTTGAAAAACCGTAGGATGTGAAAAACCACAGGTACCTGTGGAGCCGCTGGTACTGGTGTGACGGGCTCTGGGTGGGATATGCAGGTCGTGTTTATGGGATCGTGGGCAGCCTAGTGAAGGGAAGGCTGTGTGTGTGCAACATTCTCTAGGGAATTCTTTTGTGACATTGTTTGTGGGGAGCCTGTCCATGCTGTTGGGCTCGGAGGCGAGCTGCTCAGAAAACACTGTGGGGAGGGAGGTGGCGTGACAAGGACATGTGGGCCTCAGCGTCGAGAGATCAGCCGCAGGCTGTGTGTGCGTGCCTGCCTTTTGTGTGTTTAAATGGCCTTGTGGGGCTGCTGTGGGGCTATGTTAGGAAGGAGGCAGGGAGATAAATATGGGGCAGAGCAAGGGCAGCAGGCGGGAGGCTTGGGTGTCGTCTGGGTGGCCCAGCTAGTCTTTGTGCAGGGTCTATGAGCTTGCCTCTCACTGGCCTGCCCAGCGAGTTCAGGGTCACTGGGAGGAGAGGCCTGGCGGCTGCAAGGAAACTGAGCTTGGACAGAGTGACTCCTTGGTCATGTTTACGTAAAGGTCGGGTGTGACTCTTGTCACTGAAATGGAAAAAAGAAACACGAAGTTTTCAGCCTCCTCCTCCTGCTTCACCCTTTCTCGGCCCCCCTTGCCGGTATCTCTGCTTTTCCATCTCTTCTGTGACGCACACTGGGCAGCTCCTGTGACTGTGGAAGGGTCTGAATTCGCTCACTAGGCAGATTCCTCAGAGCAGGTTTTCCGTACCTTTGGGGCCTGGGCGCTTCTGTAGACGTGTGTGTGAGTGGGGTGGGTGAATGGTGTGTGTGCATTCCAAACGTGCACACCACTGGGTACTGCCCCTAGCCTGGCCAGGATGGTGGACATGCATGGATGGTGGGAAGGCACTATGGCTGGGCCTCCTGCGGGGAGGGGTTGCTAGGTGCTGTGAAAGGCCTGTACAACAGGTGTACCCCTGCCTGGCTGAAGGGAAAGGGGCCTAGACTAGAACTGAGTGGTTCTGGCCCTACTGCTTCCTCACTGGAACTTTCCCTGAATGAGCCTCAGTTCTTGATCTGTAAAATGGGGTGAATTGCCTGCCCTGCCTATCTTCCAACAGGGTTATAAGTAAGTAGTACCTGGGAAATACACCTGGAAAGTTGCTACAGTTCAGGGACTATGCCTGCGCCAGCAACCATCAGCCATCTGCCAGCGCTGAGCCCATGTCGGTGCTGGGCTAATAACAAGAGCAGTAAACACTTACTTAACACTTACTGTGTACCCAGGCACTGTTCTCAGCTTTTACGTATGATCGCTCATTTAGTCTTCGCAGTGCCCCATGGAAGTAGGTATTCTAATTAACTCTCTTCTTCAGATGAGACAGCTGAGGCCCAGAGAAGTGATTTGCCTAATGCCACTCGGTAAAAGGTAAAGCTAGATTTGAACTTAGGCAGTCAGGTTCCAGATCCTGTGCTCTTCTACGCTGTCCTCTGCTGCCCTTCTGAAGTCTTCTGTGGGCCACTCTGTACACACATTTCTCCCTAATTTTTGTGTAACTTAACACCTGCACCATTCCATTTTAGAAGACCTGTGTGCCTAGTAACTCAGGGAATCTTAGCCTGGGGAATGAACTAATATCTGCTGCTGGTTGCTGGCCACAGAGGCAAAAAATGCTGATGAACCAGATGAAGGAAAGATTGACTTTGTCCTGTGGGTCAAAGAGGGCCAAGAAGGAGATGGCATTTGAGTTTGATCTTAACACTTCAGAGGGCTTTGGGAAAGAGGCTGGGACAGGTTGTATTTCTGACAGGGGGACCAGCATAGGCAAGGGAATGGAGATACGGGATGCACTGAGTTTGGATAGAGCACTGGGTGCTTGAAGGGAGACTAACAGGCAAGATTAGAAAGGCAGATTGGAACTAGACCCTTGAATGCCTGGCTGAGGAATTTGAACTTTATTTGGGAGTGAGTGGGGACCAGTGAAGGATTCTGAGACTAGGAGTAAAACCACCTGAGCTGCACTGGGGACATTGACCTTCAGTGAGAGGAAGGCTGGATGGTAAGCATGAGGCAGGAAAATAGTTGGGAGGCTGTGGCCTTAGACCGTGTGAGTGTTAACAAGGCCCTGCGCTAGTTTGGGGGCCAGAGGTGGGTCGAAGGGAAGGCTTCCAGAGCCATTCCCAAGCTGGGCTGCAGATTTGACTGGACTTGGTGACTGCTGGATGTTGGGAGGGAGGGAAAGGAGAGTCAGACATGACGCAGTTAGCATTTAGCACGTGAGACCTGGTGTGGTGATTTCTGCAACCCGCTGGCTGGCCCTAGGCCCCTTCGGGGCAGGATCCAGCAGTACGGCAGAGGGAAAGACTCAGCATCTGGATTCACACAGGCCCGGATTTGAATTTTGACTCTGCTGCTCACAAACTGTGTGACCTTGAGCAAGGTATACCCACCCCTCTGTGAGCCTCAGTTTCCTTATTGGAAAAATTGGGATAATACAAATACTAACTTTGGGTGGCCCTTTGGGGGAAATCATTAAATGAGGCAATGCATGTAAAGCCATGGAAGTATGACAGGCAAGGTATGAGCGCTCCAGAAGTGGTCGAGTTACACTCATCATTCCAGCTCCTGGCCAGCTCTGAGGGCAGGCAGACTACAGGCAGACTTTGAATAGGGAAGGTTCAAGCATTCACCCAATTAAAAAAATAAAAGAAAAGAAGTCTCCCATTACGTATCAGGCACTGTTCTAAGCACTGGGGATAGCAGTGAACAAAGCAGACAAAAATCTCTCCCTCCCATGGAGGTTACATTCTAGAGATAAATGAACAATATGTTTTACTAAGTGCCAAGGAGAAAAATAAAGCAGGGGAGAAGAATAGGAAGTTTGGGGAGATGGGTGATGGCCAGGGCAGGCCTGGGGTGGGGGCAGGTGACTTTGGAGTCTAGGCTTAGAGGAGGTGGAGCAGCAAGGCATGAAGCTATCAGAAAAGAACATTCCAGGCAGAGGGAACAGCAAGAGGTTCTGTGTGTCTGGTGGCAGTGCTCAGATCTCCACCTCAGTAACACCTTTCAGATCACATGGCCAGTCAAGAGTAGGGAAACAGTAAAAACAAATAAAAAACTAAAAACCACAGAGCCACCAAATCTACCATGAAGCCTGATTTCTGCCTCTTTTTCTTCACCACTTCCCCCCACCATTTTCCGGGACTGAGTTCCAAGATGATAATAAGAGCTAGCACTTACTGAGCATTTACTGTGTGCCAGGCACTCCCAGTTCCCACCAGTTATGAGCTCACTTATTCTTCAGAATAACCCTGCAAAGCGGGAACTTTTCATTATCTCCCCCTCATAGACAGTGAAACTAAGGTACAGAGAAGTTAAGCAACTTGCCCAGGGACACATAGCTAGTGTCTTCTCCATCTCTTATAAGCCCTTGTAGGGTAGTGACCAGTGGTGGGGCAGTTGAACTCAGGAGACTTGGGTTCAAACCCTACTTGCTTAGCAATGAGACCAGGGGCAAATTACCCTGCCACTGTGTCCTCTATACTGAAAGTGAAGAGTTTAGAGTATTTAAAGCCTCACTTATCTCATCTGTCCAATGGGTCGATGATAGACCCTGCCTCACTCTGGTCTCTCTTTTTTTTTTAAGATTTTATTTATTATTTTTAGAGAGAGTGGAAGGAAAGGAGAAAGAGGGGAGAAACATCCATGTGTGAGAAACAGATCAATCAGGTGCCTTTCATACACCCCCAGCTGGGGGCCTGGCCCGAAACCCAGGCACGTGCCCTGACTGGGAACTGAAACTGTTGACCTTTCCGTTCACAGGCCACGTCTCAATCCACTGAGCCACACCGGCCAGGGCACAATGGTCCTTTTTGAGTATTGAAATGAGATCATGCAGACAAAATGCTTAGCTCTGTACTGGGTACATCGTAAGTATTTCATAAATGGCAGCTATAAGTGATTATGATGATTCTAGGTGATATCTAAGGGCCAGGCCAGCTTTGGACTTCTTTGCTTCTAAGAAGCCTCAGTAGGCCTTGTCCGAGGCTCTTGGTAGTCAGCACACAGCCATCCCTCAGGAGGTGCCATGCCTGTATGGTTGTGCAGGTGGGCAGGCCTGGCCGAGAGGGTGTGCGGGACTGGAATCGAACCTTTGTTTTGCCCACCTGTGCAGGGCTACTACTTCCTAGAAGAAGCTCCCTTCCTGTATTTTTAACCTATGGGCTAGTGGGGGTACTCATTGGTGCTGTTGAAAGAAAAACACCTGTTTTTCTACATACTCTATTCATACCAATTCTCTGACACTAGTTGGGTGTCCCATAATTCAATTCAGTTCTGTCACCACCTGAAGACAATGTCACATCCCACAGGTTAAGGGCTTAGTCCCACAAGACTGCCCCCCAGTTCAGATGCCAGTTGCAAATCCAAGCTTTCTACAATTCTGATTGACCAGCTATAAATTGGGGCTGACCATGACCCCTCCCTCAGATTTGATAATTTGCTGGAATGGCTCACAGAACAGAGGGAAACACTTATGTTTACTGATTATATAACAAAAAATACGACAATACAAACATAGCCAATGAAGAGGTACATAGGACAAGAAGGTCTAGAAGGGTCCTGAGTATAGGAGCTTCTGTCTCCACAGAGTTGGGGTGCACCATCTTCCCAGCATGTGGATGTGTTTGTCAACCTGGAAGCTCTGTCGACCGCATAGTTTAGGGATTTTTATGGAGGCTTCGTCAGGTAGGCATGATCAATCATTAACCCAGTCCCTAGTCCCTCTCCCCTGCCCGAGTTGGGGGTGGGTGGGGCTAGAAGTTCTAAGTTTCTGATCATGGCTTGGCCTCGTGACCAGCCCCTATCCAGGAGTCCACCGGCAGTTACCTCAGTAGAACAAAAGATGCTCCTTTCTCCCAGGAAATTCCAAGAGATTTATGTCTGAGCTTGATGTTAGGAACCAGGCTCAAAGACCAACTATTAGAACAAAAGATGCTCTTAATACTCTTATCACTTAGCAAATTTTAAGAGTTTTAGGAGCTCTGTGTCTATTCTGGAGATGAAGACCAAATATAAATATACATATTCCTATTATATCATCTTATAGCTGTAAACAAGCCCTTCACTTTGATGATCCTGGGATCAGAATCTGGCCCTGGTACTAACTGGTCACATATTCTTGGATGAGCAACCTAGCACCTCTGAGCCTCAGTCAGTGACTTTAAAATGGGGAAGCTGCCCTGACGTGGTGTGGCTCAGTTGGTTGGGTATTGTCTGGCAAAGTGAAGGGCACATACCTGGTCAGGGCATGTGCCTGGGTTGTGGGATGGATCCCTGGTTGGGGTGTGTGTGGAGGGCAATCGATTGATGTTTCTCTCCCCCTCTCCCTCCCTTCCCCTCTCTAAAAATAAATAAAATCTTTAAAGTAAAACGGGGAAGTGAACTGCTACCTTTTAGGGCAGTGAAGAAGAAAGGAGTAAATGAGGTAATGCAAGTAAAGCACTGATTCGTGGGGGTCCCAGTGGGCCGGCGGCTGCCGCGGAAGGGAGCGCTGTTTTCTCACTTTACAAGCAGACCCACCTGCAATCCAGCAAATGATGGGGCAGCACAGACCTGCGTATGTGCCTGGCCCCAGGACTGTTGAACTTTTGCATAGCACCCCTGTTTATCACTTCCCTGCTTTTCCAGGAGAGGAGTCAGAGTAGTCTTCTGGGAAATTGAAATGGACTGTGGAGGAAAGGTCTTTTAATCTAGATAGTATAATTACTAAATAGGAAAAGGTTTCTTGGGTGGGGGAACTGTATGAGGAACGCCTAATGCCAGACACCTCAGAGAACATGTGTGACCCAGATCATTCAGGAGAGCACTTCTGGGCTTCGTGGGGGGTGGACAAGAGGGGCCAAGAGCTCTGCTCTCAGGTCAGCAGGCCTGGCTCTGTGAACAGGCCCCACCTGTTATTATCAACTCAATGTGACTTTGGCTAAGTCAGCATATGACTCTTGAACTCAGATCTTCAACTGAAAAATGCGACCCCACAGCCCTGGCTGTGCCTGAGGGGGAGAGCGGCAGTGAGGGGCCTCCTGCGTGGTGACGGCCACAGCCCGAGTTTGGGTTGCCTCCTGTTCCTTTTGGAAGAGCCTCCCAGGAAGAGGTGAGATGGGGTTGTGTTTCACCCCCATTTTTAAACCCGAAAGCCCCCAGATCTCAGAGTAAGGAGTGACACCCAAGTTTCTTCACCCTGGGGTCTGGTGGCCTTGTGTATGAATTGTGGTCTTTGGTGGTCTCCTGGTACCTGGGCCAGAAACACCCTGAAAGATTTATCCCCTAGCACCTGTGAGAGGAAGTCCTCTCCTAATTTGAATATCTAGCAGCTCAGTGCAATAAAAAATCTCAAGCAAATCTATTTTGATATGTAAATGAGACCATTATAAAAAAGACAATACACAAATGTTTGATTTCCTTTGAGCTCCAAGACTGGGCCAAAGGGACTTAAGAGTGATCCGAGGGACTTCCCTGGACCTATAGGACTGAACTAACCTGCTGTATGTTTTGAGGTGAATTGGGAATACACAAATTATCTTGTTCCTCTGCTTCTGGGGGCCAGCAGGACAAGGCTGCAATAATGCAATAATAATAATGTGTGTGACCTCCTAGGTCCAAGTGGATGTGGCTAAGCAAATAACCTGGCAGAGGCTCCTGGGAAGACCAGGGTCTGCAGGGCAGCCCAAGTGCGCTCTTTGACCTTGAGCTCCATATCACACCATAGCCCCCAGGGTCCCTTCCACCCCAGCTCCCTTACTGAGGACATGGTTTCTGTTTCTTTACAGAGGGAAGAGGCCCGGCAGAAGGGACTTGCTGAGCCACCCCCCTTCTGCTCCATGTTGGCTGTGCTCTCAGGTGAGATGGTGAGAGGTCTTTAGCTAGGTAAAACTGGACCTGAGGCAGCAGGCCAGCAAGGGCAGCCAGTTTGTCCAGCCTGGAGAGTCTTGTGAAAAGGCCATCAGTAATGGTGCTTCCTTCTCCCAGTGGGAGACAGTGTCCATTACCCTCTTCTTAGTCTGTGACTTTGGACATTTTAACCTTGGACCTTCATCAAGACCTGAGGTATCCCTGGCATCTTCCAGCCCCAAATGTTTGACGTACTGGTGTTGGATGCTGGCCAGACGTGGGTGGCTAAGGTGAACCCCTGACTTCTGTGATCAGATGTTAGCCTTCCACTGGATTCTGACCAACACCTCCCTGATTTTAGAGGGCCCTGCCCTCTGCCCAGCCTCTGAGATCCTCCCCTGGCCTCTTCTCCTCTGTCTAGGCTGGCGCCATGCCCCCCCCAGCAGAGGTGACGGACCCATCCCATGCCCCCGCTGTCCTGCGCCAGCTCAATGAGCAGCGGCTCCGTGGCCTCTTCTGTGACGTCACCCTCATAGCCGGAGATACCAAGTTCCCTGCTCACCGCAGCGTCCTGGCTGCTTCTAGTCCCTTCTTCAGAGAGGCCCTGCTTGCTTCAGCTCCACTGCCCCTCCCACCAGTTATTGGGGGCTCAGCCCCAAACCCTGCTGCCACCACAGCTGCCTCCTCTTCTTCCTCTTCCTCTTCCTCCTCCTCCTCCTCCTCCTCTTCTCCCCCTCCAGCCTCACCCGTGGCTTCATCCCCACCCCGGGTCCTAGAGCTGCCAGGGGTCCCAGCAGCTGCCTTCTCTGATGTCCTCAACTTCATCTATAGTGCCCGGCTTGCACTACCTGACGGTGGAGGGGATGGGGCAGCTGTGGCAGAGATCGGAGCTCTGGGGCGGCGTCTGGGCATCTCTCGCCTACAGGGCCTTGGGGAGGGAGGTGATGCCTGGGTACCTCCTGCCCCAGCCCCCATGGCCACCTCACAGCCTGAAGAGGACAGCTTTGGGTCTGGGCCTAAGCCAGCCGGGGAGTGGGAGAGGGACAGGGCTGAGGCCCAGGCCCCTGACTTGCAGCCCTCCCTGCCACGACGGCCTCTCCCCTGTCCCCGATGTGGAAAAAGCTTCATCCATCCCAAGAGGCTGCAGACCCATGAAGCACAGTGTCGTAGGGGCAGCAGCACTAGGGGTTCTGCAGGGCTGGGAGCCGGGAGCTCTGGCCCTAGTGGCCCCACAGGAGTGGATGCCTCAGCCCTGCCCCCCACAGTGGGCTTCAGAGGTGGCCCAGAGCACCTGGTGAAGGTGGTGGGCGGCCATGTGCTGTATGTGTGCGCGGCCTGTGAGCGTTCCTACGTGACCCTGTCCAGCCTGAAGCGGCACAGCAATGTACACTCCTGGCGGAGGAAGTACCCCTGCCGCTACTGTGAGAAGGTGTTCGCCCTGGCTGAGTACCGCACCAAGCATGAGGTGTGGCACACCGGGGAGCGCAGGTAAGTGTCCTGGGGGGTGGGTGAGGGCAGTGGAATCAACAATCAGCACTTGGGCACCACATGGACAAGGAGGGAGCGGGCAGAGTGTGGAGCCTGGGCAGTCATCCTGAGACCCCTGCTCACCACTGGTCCTGCTCACCTGCCCCTCCTCACTTACCCACTGTCTCCCTTCAGCACCAGCTCCTTCTGCTGATGCTCATTAGCACCTCTAGGTGCTATGGAGAAGACAGAGGAGGAAGTAGAATGTTGCCTTCACAGGAAAAAACTATGGGGAATGCAGGCATGCCCACGAGTAGTTATAATACGTATTCCTATAATGTGTCCCTATTCATAAGACATTCCTGCATTGTCATTTGAGCTTCAAAAGAAGGTTTTGTGAGTTAGGCAAGATGTGTAATTATTCCCAATTCACAGAGGAACAGCTGAGGCCCAGCGTCTCATAGCTGGTTTGGGGGCCACTGAGCTAGGACTGGTGTTTCTCCTGAGGCTGGCAGGGTGGGTTAAGCAGTGTGAAAGGAGGGTGAGCAAGTGGCTGAGGGAGTTCTAGGTCTGAGTGGAGGGCAGTAGAGGGTGTGGGAAGCTGTGACTCTGGCTTTAGGGCCCCTGACTCAACTGGCTCTGTCCTTGCCCTGTTCCCTCTGTCCTGGCCCAGGTATCAGTGCATCTTCTGCTGGGAGACCTTTGTCACTTACTATAACCTGAAGACCCACCAGCGAGCCTTTCATGGCATTAGCCCAGGCCTCCTAGCCAGTGAGAAGACACCCAATGGAGGCTATAAGCCCAAGCTCAATACCCTCAAGCTGTACCGTCTGCTCCCCATGCGGGCAGCCAAGCGACCCTACAAGACCTATAGCCAAGGAGCCCCTGAGGCCCCTCTTTCTCCAAGCCTCAACACACCGGCCCCTAAAGCAATGCCAGCCAGCTCACCCCCTGGACCCCCACCTGCCCCAGAGCCTGGGCCCCCGCCCTCTGTCATCACTTTTGCCCACCCAGGTCCGTCTGTCATTGTTCACGGGGGCAGTAGTGGTGGTGCAGCAGGGGCTGGGCTGGCCAGCACAGGGGGTGCCCAAGCCGCCTCGGTCATCACTTACACTGCTCCACCAAGACCCCCCAAGAAACGTGAGTACCCACCTCCTCCCCCAGTGCCTGCACCCACACCAACCAGCCCAGCCACAGCAGGCAGCCCAGCAACAGCTGCAGGGCCCGCCATGGCCACGGAGGAGGCCAAAGGCCGCAGCCTGCGGGCCGGAAGGACTCTGACCTACGTGGCCAAGCCAGCTGGTGGGATTGGTGGGGATGGAGGTCCTCCTGCAGGGCCTGGCCGGGGTCCTCAGCTACAGGTGCCACCTCCACTGTGTCAGATAACTGTGCGAATAGGCGAGGAGGCCATTGTGAAGCGCCGCATCTCAGAGACTGACCTGCGTCCTGGGGAGCTGAGTGGAGAGGATATGGAGGACAGTGAGGAGGAGGATGAAGAGGAGGAGGAGGAGGAATCGAAGGCTGGCGGAGAGGACCAACTCTGGAGGCCCTACTACTCATACAAGCCCAAGCGCAAGGTTGGAGCTACAGGCTCAGGCAGCAGTGGGGGCAGTGGGATGCCCAGAGGCCGCAGGCCACCACGCTGGAGACAGAAGCTGGAACAGAGGAGCTGGGAGGAGACCCCAACAGCTGATGGCCCTGCAGGGCGTGCCTGTGGTGAGCGGAGGCACCACTGTGGGGACTGTGCCCAAACGTTTGCCACCCTGAGGAAGCTGCGAAAGCACCAGGAGGCCCACAGTGGGGGCTCCCACACCTCCCGGGCTGGACGGAGACCTTCCACCCGCTTCACCTGCCCTCATTGTGCCAAGGTGTGCAAGACGGCAGCTGCTCTGAGCCGCCATGGACAGAGGCATGCTGCTGAGAGGCCTGGGGGCACCCCCACACCTGTCATTGCCTACTCCAAAGGCAGCACTAGTACCAGACCTGGGGATGTCAAGGAGGAGGCCCCCCAAGAGATGCAAGTCTCTTCATCCAGCGGGGAGGCAGGTGGTGGGAGTGCTGCTGCTGAGGAAGCTTCTGAGACTGCATCACTTCAGGACCCTGTCATCTCAGGGGGTGAGGAGCCCCCAGTGGTGGCAGGAGGGGCCACCTATGCATACCCCCCTGTGCAGGAATTTCCACTGGCTCTGATTGGAAGTGGCCGGGAACCTGGTGGTGGTAGGGGAAAACCTGGGAGTGAGGGGCAAGTGGGGGCTGGGGAGGGGGACCGGAGGGAAGGGATAGGAGCTGCCAAAGTCACATTCTACCCCGAGCCCTACCCACTTGTCTATGGCCCCCAGCTCCTTGCTGCCTACCCTTATAACTTCAGCAACTTGGCTGCTCTCCCTGTTGCTCTTAACATGGTCCTACCTGATGAGAAGGGTGGGGGGGCCCTTCCTTTCCTACCAGGGGTCTTTGGCTACGCAGTTAATCCTCAAGCAGTACCCCCCTACTCCCCCCAACTCCACCCCCCCCAAACTCTTCCTCCACCAGTCCCCCCTAAGGGAGAAGGTGAATGGGCAGGGGTTGAGGGAACCCAGAAGGGAGATGTTGGGTGAGCTCTGTGCCTGGATCTCCCCTTTCACCAGATGCCACCCTCCCTGAACCCCCTGCCACTACCAGCTCCCTGGCCTCCCTACCCCTTGGGAACTCCTTCACACTCTTGTGCAGGAACTTTGGGGCCCTTGGAGCTCAGGAGTCAGGCTGCTTTGTGTGAGATTGTAGTTTTCCTATCTCTTGGGAAGGGATCTTTGGTGGTTCCCCTCTCAGTTCTCCTCCAGGGAATGGCCTCCATGAGGGGCAGGGCCAGCTCCCATCCCCTTCTCCAGCCCTTGGGGCAACTGAGCAATATACTTATATGAATCTCTACTCATGGCCCCCACCAGCTCTGAATGTCTAATCCACTCCCCTGATTTGTATACCTAGGGGGAAACCATCTCTCTCACCTAATGATCCCCCCTCATTCTGAAGCTTTCTCTAAGACCTAGCCCAGATGCTTCCTAGCACATTCCATTCTTCATGGCCCAGGGCCTGGACCAGACCATTGTGATACCTGACACCCACCTTGGAGCCACCTTGGAGCTTGGCTTTGGATTCTATTCTTCCGATGGTGGATTTCTGTGTCCCTTTCCTTCAAGTTAAGATGCCATGCCTTCCTTGGCTTCCATGCCTTTGGATCTTCCATATTCCTCCTCACACTCCTACACTCTGGAGATGGCCTCTCCCAGTCCAGGTCAAGGAGGTGTTGGGGAGGAGGGCTACCCATTTGTTTCTTCCCCAGCCCAGGGCAGCACCAATCTTGGCTCTATCTTGACCCCCAAATCCAGTGAGCCCTAGATTCTTCCAAGGCAAAAGAGGTGAGTATATCATACCTCTTTTTGCCTCTATATATGGCCTCTTCTGGGCTAAATCAGGTTTGGGGGCTAGGAGGTAGGAGCTCCTTTTGGGATGGGGAAGGGAATCTACTTTCTCCCTGTTTTCTCCTGATGGTTTCTCCCAGATTAGACCAAATAGCCAGAAAAATAATGGGGGTTGGATGGGTGGGTAAGCCCAAGATTTGCACATGACCTCCCATCCTTACCTTTACCCCCTTCTTCCCCAGTGTCACTTCCCTCACCAATCACCCCAGATGGTTTTGGGGAAACCATACTATTCCCTTGGTGGGCTCTGGGGTATCCCCCACCAACTTTCCCTCCAGAATAGCACCTTATACCCCATCTTTGATTCAGTTCCCCATACCCAAAGATCCCAGCCTAGGAATGGGGTGCAGGGACCTTAAATAGTCTCTAATCCCTAATTTGCACTAGTTAACCCTGGTCAGGGTCCCTATGTTTCCTTCCAGGGGGGAGTTGAAGAAATGTTTGCTTCTAATTCTCTGGTAACTGGGCCTCCCCACTCTGTGATCGGATGAAACATTTCCCATCCCACCCACCTCCCTTCCCCACAAAAAAACACCCAGCTCACAAGGGGAGAGCCAGTTTTGGGGAGCGAATTTGATAAATGGGAATTAGAGGAGTGCAGTTCAAAAAGGGAAAAGTAGCTGTCATCAAAATGTCAGCCTTTTTCCCAGCTACTGTTTTCTGGGGCCAAGATGGCTGCCCTCTCAACAGATGTTGAAAGGGCAAGATCATGGCTGTTAGAGGGAGGTGAACTTGTGGGGAGGGACAGGAGCATCCTCCTGCCTCCTCTTAGCCTCCCAGACTATACAAAAGGGGAGGTTTTTGACAGGCTCCCTGAATGTTAACCATGGAGGAGTGTCACTCCTTCGCTACTCCTCTGTCTCTTTGCACTTTTCTTGGTCTTGGCCACAATCCGAGTGGAGAGTTTTCCTACTGAATGTACCAAGTTCCAATTTTTATGGGAGGAAAAAAACAATTTTAAACAGGGAAAAATGCAAAAAAAAAATCACTAAAATGTTCCCACAAATCTTGTTCCTGGCACTTTAGAAAAACTGCGGAAAAAGTACATAATAAAGGATACATATATATATATATCTACACACAAAGTATATATATACACACAGCGGAACCACAAGAGAGACTGAGGAAGGCCTTGGAGGCAGGGGGCAGATGGGATGATAGTCCCCTTATATCCTTAACCTGAACTCCTCTGAGGCAAAAAGGCACAGGAAATGGAAGGGGATGAGGATGGACCAGGGAATTTGAATTTCAGGACAGGTCGAAGTTCTAAAACTATTTTGGGAGAACAGATTGTAGACATTTATTTTTTTGAAAATATCATTTAGGAAAAGTAAGTTTCCAGAATTTGGTAGTTCTGTGCAACACATGAGATTGTGATGAAATGGACATTAAAAGATATGGGGAACTTGAATATTGTGAATTTCAGATGTTGGAAATTTGGGGTTTTGCAATTTCATCTTTTGAAAACTACCAACTCTTGTCAGTTTGCGCCCTCTTTCCCCATGTTCCCTGGGAAGAATGGTGATGGTGGAGGGGAAGGCCACTGGTTCTGTGCCACAGCACGCAAGATTTAGAATTCTGCAGACTCTAGCTCTATATGTAGTGAGGACCCAGATTTAGAGAAACTGACCAATATTTATCTCCGCATTTGTGTGTGTGTCCAACTCTCTAGGCCAATAAACCAACGAGACAAATGAATGAACTGTGCTCCGCAGTGGGATGCCAGGTGCAAATTATTTGCGTGTCTGGTGGGTCTGGCTGGACAAGGACATGCTGACCTTGTCCCACAGGGATCCTGGGGAGTTGTAGCCCTATTCTCCCTTTTAGGACAACAACTTCCAGTAATTGAGTAGGTCTGGGGCCTCGCTGACCCTAGGTACTTCATTGTAATCACTTTAGCTACTAGGTTCAAGCTGACTTTGGTCTGACCTCTAGGCAGAAACATTAAACTCAGTTCAGTTCACACAGCCTGCTGGGCACAAGATCTCCATGTCCCAGAAAGGCCTTGCTGTAGACTAGATACAACCCTTTCTCCAAATTGAAAGGAAAGGTAAGGCAAAAGAAAAAATATGTGATAGCTGTTTAAGAGAGACAACCTTTCTTTTTCTACTAGCTTCCCACTGGCTTCAACTCTTTATCCCCCCCGCCCCCCGCCCTCCCCTGTATTTTGTCTAGTGCTATGTAGAAATGGGTAAGTAAAATGAGGGAGGCTTGTCAGGTGGATGGAGACTTTGTGGAACTGACCAGAGTGGGCAGCCACTCATCAGCTCTGGCAGGTCACTGCCAACAGGGGAATCAGTCCTGTTAGTGTAGTTTTAAAGTAATTTTCCAGACAAGCCAGAAACCAAATTTCCCTATGAAATACCCAAAACTTAAAAGTAGTAAACTGATTCAACTTTAAAATTATGCAGGCTGATGTCATGGGCCAAACAACACACACAAGTTTACAGCCTCTGATACATGTTGCATAATGCTCTTGTTCCCATCTTCTCGTATGATCCTCAGAGTAGGGGGCAGCTGCATCATTAACTCCGAAGCTGGGACTTGGGTATATTAAAGTGCTATTTTTTCTACTCATTGCAAATACATCCTTTTATAAATAACCTTTTTTTAATTCTAAACATAATACTTATTTCAAAACATAGTAAGTTACAGAAACATATAAACAAAGGAAAAATGACCACTATTACCAACATGCAAAACATAAGTGCTAATTTTTTTTCCTTCCAGCAAAAATGTCCCTATTTATTCAACTAATGTTAAGCAGGATGTGTTAGGTGCTGGGGACATTACAGTGAATAAGGCACAGTTCCCATCCTCCATAAGGCTTACAGTCTAGTTCTTTGCTCCATTTTACTGGGAAACTTGGTGTTAGAAGCTTCTTTAAGAAGCCAAAGAGTAAATAAGCTGACAGCATTTCTGGTGGGCCCAAGTATTCCCAGTCCCACTTGGGCTCTCTTCCTAGAAACAAAGGAGATAACTGGATCCCTTGTGCCAGAGTTAATATGCAGAAAGGAATAGGGCTCTAAAGTGCTGCCCAACTATCAGTTCAGCAGGCAGAGGACTTGGGTGCTGGCCCTAGGTCCTAAGGAAAGGGGTCGGCAGGGGGCAAGTGGTATGTAGCATCCAAGAAGATGACGAGGGTCCCAACACTCGTGAAGATGATGAAGGTCCACAGGAAGAGGCGGTCCACTACCATGGCCACAAATTGCCAGTCTTCCTTCAACTGGGGATAGGCAGAGGAAACTGTTTCTGAGCTCCAGACATCAGGGAAGGCTACCCGCAAGCCCAGGTACCCTGCCCGGACTAGGGTGGTAGGAGGACCATCCTACCACCGCTTTGAACTCAGACCAAGAAGGCTGCGAAAAGCGGAGCCTGAAACTACGGGTGACTGGTGAGAGTAAGAACCAGCTGGAAAGCAGGGGGCAGGACCAAATGAGGCAAACTTCCAATGAAAACAAAACAGAAACAGAAACAAAAACAAACAAAAAAACTCAAAACAGAAACAAAGAGTGCTAGGGGCGGAGCCTGAGTTTGAGGGTGGAGCCAAGGCTACCAAGGCTCTGCCCTGCTCCACTCTCAATGGACTTACCGCGTCGTGGTCCTCCTGTTCCTGCAGGTGTCCAGCGATGTAACTGATGGAGGAAACGACCTCCCGTAGCTCGGGGGCCAGGCTAACAACCCGGTTTGGACCATCGATAAATCGCCGTAGATCCAGGGCAGACATTTCAGGCTGGAACCTGGAAAGGGCGGGATCGTTTGGTCACACCTAGGGTGCAAAGACACAGCCTGTGCTTGGGCTGCAGACCCCGCCCCAACATCTTGCCCCTTTTCAAAACTTTTAAGGCTCTGCCCGCCAATAGTGGTGGCCTCCCTAGCATTCCCACTGTGGTTTAGTTACCACCTTTCAGCAAAGTGGGCAGCAGAAAGGATACTACAACTCCCCTGATGCTCAATCACAGCATCTTCTGGAGCGTAGGCCGCCTGCCTCCGCACAGTCTTCTGGGAATTGTAGTTCTGCAATTCCTGACTAGGTACTACCTCTTGGGTTTGGGAAAGAGAAAATCACTCGGTGGCTTCCGGATGAAATATTCATCTGTTCCCCGACCCCAGCCACTTCCTGGAGAATCCCTGAGGGCTACAGAAGGTGGCTCTGGCATCTGGTCCCTCTCAGGTTTGGGTCTCTTCAGACCCAGGTACAGTGAGAGTTTGTGGATGAAGATCTGCAGAGTAGAAAAAGAGGTGTGTCAGAGAGTGCTCTCATGTTTTTAGACCTGAAGGGAAGTAGCCAACCACCCCCACGCCACATACCCTCTGCTGAGCCTGTGTGCATATGTCCCACTGAGCTACACAGACAAGAAAATGCAACCACACAGCCCTCAGAGCTCATATTTGGGTTGGGAGGCATCCTGACTGGAAAGGAAAATTCTGAGGGCTTCTACCCTGATAGTACCTAATCCTGAGAATGTTTCCCTGGGATCTGGATAGACAGTATGATTAAAAGAGTGTAGGACCTACAAAATGGCAGTGATGAGAGGGTAAATTTAATTGTGCATCGTTTGGACACCCAATAGGACTTGGTACTTCAACACTCCACAGAAAGTTGTAGTTCTCCCTCAGGTCTGTGAAAGGAAGGTTCAAGTGGTAGGAGGGAGGAGAAAAAGCCAAATAGTAAGCCAAAAACTAAGCCAAATACCTGGACAAAAAGCCAAATACTAAGATTAAGAGTCAACAGAAGCTACAGGAGATTTTTCTTACCTGACGAACCCAAAGGGGCATTTGGTGGGTGTGAGGTGAACGATGGTGCAGGTTGAGAACAACGACGCTAAGGATGACTGAGACGGTGACGAGGACCATGGTAAACATGAGATACTTGACAATGATGGGGACAGACAGAGAGGTCTCAGGCACTTTGCCTGCCAACAGCAGCAGGAACACAGTAAGAGTCAGCAGGGCGAAGATTGAGAGCCCCATTTTCTCTCCTTGGGGGGCAGAGGGGAAGGCAGAATGATTAGGTTTTGTCAGAAGACAATCTACATGGCATAACTGGCAATCAGCCCACTCAAGGACAGGTTTTTGGAAGGCCCAAGGGCATGCAAGTGACTCCTACATTTATATCTCCAACTTGGACTTATTCCCTTAAACTCCAGACCCATATTCACCTGCCAACTTAACCTCTCCACTTGCGTGTCCTAGAGACATCTCAAACTTAACATGTCTAAAACTTAATTCCTTCATCACCAACTCCTCCCATTGTCTTCCTCATTTCATAAACAACATCTTTCCTGTGGGCACAGGGCAAAAGCCTTTGAATCATTCTTAGCTCTCCTCTCTCTCTCTCTCTCTCATATCCAATATCCAATTCATAGCAAACCCTAACAGCTCTACCTTCAAAATATATCCTGAAACTGATGACTTATCACATCTACCCCTACCACCCTGATATAAACCACCATTTCCTCAGATCTGAGTTATTATAAAGGCCTCCTGCTTGCCCTTACCCACCTCTGTTCTCAACCGAGCAACAAAATTGATCCTGTTAAAGTGTAAATCAGATCTTATCACTAAAAGTGAAACAAAACATATAAGGATATGTCTGCCAGGTGGTAGATTATTCCTCTGGCATTCAACAGGCACTGCAAACTTCATGGAAGAGATTGGAATAAATAACTTGTATGGTCTGCTCTACTTTAGTCCTGTAATATTGGGTTCCAAGATTTGCCTTGCTCTAGGAGGAAGTAAAAGTTACATTTGGAAGCATGTTCTAGAGCTGCAATACTCTCCTTCCCTAGGTAGAAAGAGGACTTGATTTCAAAGGGAAGGAAAGTATGTGTTGAATACCAGAGTTAAAGATACCAGTTTTTGAATCAGACTGGCACTAACCAGGGTTGGAAAAGCAACACTGCCTCTCTCTAACTGTGTAATGGCAGGCAAATGACAAACTCTTTCAGTTTCTTTATCCTGCTCTGTAAAATGGGAAGATAAATCAGTATTTAACTCACAGAGTTGTTGTAAAGGTTATAATTGAGTTAATCTGTGTGACATGTTAATTGTATTACCTTACATCAAGTGCTCAAAAGTAGCAAAGACAACATCACCACTTACATGGAATTTATTGGGTACCAGGCATAGTTCTATGAACTCAGTTGATCCTCAAAATAATACTATTCCGTGGGAACAGTAATTATCCTCATTTCCAGATTAGGAAACTGAGACACATAGAGATTAAGGATTTTGCCAAAGGTTACGCTTACTACATTATGCTGCCTCCTAGAGAAATATTGGCTGTTATTTCTAAGGCAGGTGGAGGGGTAAGAGACTAGGATGTCAGGAATGAGGACAGGTAAAAGGAGTATAGTATAAACCCTGAAATTTGTTGGTCAGAGGAGTGGTGGTTTCAAGGATGAGATACTAGAATTCTGAAGGAAAGAGTTCAGAAATTACTAGATAGAAATAAGTGGGCATCAGAGGAGAGGCAGGGCCTGAGGTTGGAAGGAAAATCTGGATCCAGATGAAAAAGCTCTGGTTAAAGAGAAAACTTGAGTGAGATTGATGAAACATAATCTATGATGGCTTGATTTAGCAGAAAAACCTTGCCTGGATTAAGGGTGGAGAGAAAGAAGCTGAGCTATTGGTATGAAGAAGGGCTGGGGCCTTTCCCCCACCTACCTGCATCTGGTGGTAGGTAGAAGACAAAG